CCAGAAAGCAACTGCTGCAAGTGAACAAGCTCTGTGTGAAAACTGAGTGGTAGGAAGTATTCTACAAAAATCCCAAAATACAGAACTAACCAGCAACCACAAAGCAGAGGAAGTACAAGCAGCAAGTTCTTGATGACGTGTTCAGCATATAAGGCTCCATAGAGACACCCATCTGTCTGCAGAACTGTTTTTCATTTGGTCTCAAATTACTTATTCTCCACAAAAGAAAGAAAAAGCAGTGATGCACAAAATTTTTAATGGCTTCAGAGCCATGCATCTTGCTTTACAACTATCCTATTTGGGTGATTTGTTTCACAAACTGTAGAGGAAAACAGGTCTAAGCAGAATGAAGAATGAATGACAATTATATTTGACTGCTAGAGAAAAGTATGAAGAATGCACATTACTGTGTCCAATAGATACTTGAATTCCCCTCTTCCATTGTGCCTCTCCACCACAGAGATGAAGTATGATATGGGGCCAAGCAAACAAGCACTTCTATCTTCCCACATCAATCTAGCAAGTTGCTATTTTACATTCATCACATGATACCACCATTTTGGAGGGAGGGGACAGAATAAGAAGGAACCCATGTGGAACAATATCCAAATATCTGGGCAGAGGGTAAGTAATCTTACTTACTTACTTACTTATCTTTTTTCCAATTAGATATTAGACAGTGGTTCACTAAGAAGAAAAAGATATAGGATTATGGACCCTTCTCAGATCACTGACAAAGTCAGGTACCTAATGGTACTCAGGAAAGTGGTCTAGTTTATTTTCTCTGATGCTATGAGAAATGTGATCTGGAAAATTCTAAGAAAACCTTAAAACTAGACCACAGAGATATGTTCAGACTAAATGCAACATGTCATATTTCAACTAGAGAGATTTGGGAGCAAGTTTTGTCCATGAAACAAATATAAAATTCTCATAACAGTAATGATACCTGAGCAGACAACAACATCCTGTCTAGTGGAGGTTAAAGCATTCTCCAAATCTCACATTCAGTAGAGTATCCACTTATTCTGCAGGTTTAGGTTACCAAGGGGAAAGTCCAGGTTAAAAGGTAAAGACTACAACGGTGAAGTTTAATCATATTAGCTAATGAAAAGCCCTTTCCATGATCATATAAACATCAATTAATTTGAATTGTGCTGAAATTAAGAAGGGAAGAGATTTACTGTGTGTCTTTTTCTACCTCTCTCTAATATGATCTGATGAGTGGAGAACAACTCAGAATCTGGTGGTAGCCTTAGCTTACAAATGTAGGAAAGACAAGATGTACAGTAATTACTCATCTGTTTCTGTGCAATTGTTCTACCACTTACAAATAAGTCAGCACAGAATATGGAGAACATATTGACCCAACCAGATCCGTAATATACTTCCACCTATACTTATTAGTATCACATCTGTTATCTAAGATGAATGGCAAACTATCAGCTTTCATCAATATTCACATATCTTTTCCAAGTTCAGTGAATAATGTGGTGACTGAACAAATGTGGTCGATATCAGCAGCTTAGTGTCAAAGCATGTTGAGGGGCTTAGGATGCCCAGAATTAAGTAGAAGGAAGGTAGTACAATGACCCCACCCTGTCCTGTGAAGGCTAATCCCTAAAAGTTCTGAGAGGGGAGAAAAAAAAAATCCTCAGACTTTAGAGAGACATTCTAAATCTGACACAAACAAGTAATTCTCCAAGTATGACATAATTGCCATATGGAAAAACAATAAAGTAAAATCATTCTTCAAGTAATAAAAGTTACCATCCCCCAAAGCTGATTCAAGATACACCAGTCACCTTCTCAACTGAAGATCTGGTGGTAACATGTAGGGTTCTGAGGTTCTGCAGGATGTGGTACGTTAGTTTCACAATTGAGAGCAAGGTTGCCAAGGAAGTATCATGCTGATGTAGATAGGATGAAAATATGCTTTCACATTGTTCACTATAACACACTAATATTTTTTCAAACCAGAGAGGATTTAAAGGCAGCCTTGGAAACCCACTTGACATCACTGACACTTAATGAAACTTTTGATTATATCTCATGGTAAAATGCATTAGACAAGTCATCTAATTTTTCTGGCACTAAATTTCTTTATCTATGAAAGAGGGGAAGAAGGGAAATATCATTCTAGTTAAATAAATAAAACAACCCTAAAGCAATTTCTCTAACTGAGAGGAAGTGCACTGTAATCTTTAATGGTCTGGAAGACCCAGATTTGGGAAGAACAGGATTCCGATCTTGACTCAGATGCTTACTAGGTATGTGATCTTGGCTCGGTCACTTAGCTTCATAGAATCCCAGTTCCTATGTCTGTAAAATGGAGATAATAATTCTTATAAAACTGACCTAGGTTTGTTGTGCTTAAAGTGCTCTTCAAACCTGAAAGAACTATATGGGTCAATTATTATTATGCCATACCCGTAGCCCTCAATCTTTCTGTTCAGCCTTAGATACATTTTTTCCCTGAAGTATTAAACTGGTCACAGACAATAGCTCTTACTCAAAAGTGAATTAATATTTATATGTCAGTAAAATAAATATTTTTCCATCATAAAGAAACTGAGTTTATTGTAAATGAAGATTCAATTCAGGAAGATTAGAACTTCTATAAATAATTATTGGAGAGAAAAGTACAGCAATGCAGAGCACTGTCAGATAATCTAATATTACTTACAAATGAGCATAGTATTACTTGATAAGAAGGAATTCATATATCTAATATTTCCAAGATAACTGGTGCTACAGAAACTGGGATAATCCTAACAAATCATACATATGGTTGCAAAAGGCATCTTCATATCAACATCCCGACACACCAACATACACACAATCAGTACTTATGAGCTATTTTGCATTTTCTATCTTAAAATGCAGGTACAAGCATCAGTGAAAAAGCATTTGAAATTCCTTTAGGAAGACTTAACTAGAGAGGTAATTCAATTCAATAAACATTCATTAAGCACAAATGCTAAGGGCTCAGAATAGAAAGACAACATTGACCTGAAGACTTCTCCCACACTGCCCACTTTTTTAATGGGAAGACAACTAACCAGTTTAAGTCAAGAGGTAACTTCAATTTTCTTTATTAAATATTGTTCTAATAGTGAAGAGGATTTGTTTAATTTTCTTTTGGTTTGTTTTGTTTACCTGGGAAGGGCAGTGATTTTCCCCCATTTCTCCACACAGAATCTCCTTGGCCCATTACTCCCTCGCAGAGAAGCAAAGCCTTCATAGGGTATGCTGGATGTGCCTGTGACAAACTGCCAATGAAAGTAAAACAGGATAAGAAAATGAAATATAGTTCAGTGGAAAGGAAAGAAGAATGAACAGTTCTGTTTAAAGGTATTGAGCAAGAGTGGCATGCTGTTTCCTGCTGGCATCATTCTTAGGCTCTAATTATTATATCGAATGGGGTTTTGGCACAGAATAATCACAGCACAGAAATTCTAAAACCGGCCAGAGAAGAATGAAAGATTTGTAATACTAAAGGAGGAGGCAAAATTAAATAAAGGAATATTGGATAAATAGGACTTATAAAATGGCCTAATGTTAACTACAACCTCCCGGGAGATTGGGACCATCTGCCAAGGCTGTTTTAGCTTGTCACTCTCCTTTGGGAGGAAGGGGAAATGACTGGCCTTGATTCGACCACGGAAAATTAGCAGTCGATGGATCTTATACATCTCGAGAAAGATGACAAGTCAATTGAATCCAGCATTTACTGAGGAAGAGGGAAGCGTTGCGTAGTGGATAGAGAGGTGACCTTGAAATCAGGAAAACTTGGTTTTATGTCCTGCTTCTGCCAAATATTGGCTGTGTGACCCTGGGCAAAGTCATTTTACTTCTCAGTACTTTAGGCAATTCCCTAAGATGACAAGTTGCAGAGAAGGTACCAGCCTGCAGTAGTAGAGAAAGTTTCCTCTTCCAGAGAGTTTCCTATATTAATGAAACCATAGATCTGGTCCCTGGACTATTTAGACACATGTTTATGTGACTGATGGTTTTAAGACTTGAAAGTCAACAACACTGTATCAATAAGAATAAGAGCCCGATGGGCATCTATCTCACCTGTAACAACCTTAGTCGTTGTTCATTGTTGAATCTTTCTACAGCAGCCCAGAACCACCGGATTACTATGTGATTGTCATGATATCCTATCAAAGCAAGAGCAAGAATCTATGTTATTTTAATTCTAATTTAAGCTATGAAGAAATATGTTAAAAAAAAATCCAAACCTTCAAATACAAATCATCATCTCAGTTTCTTCAAAAGCAGGACAGTGATTCATAATTCAAACTAGGTAGACAGCATGATACCACGAAAAGGATAATGGACTCGGGATCAGAAGACCTGGTTTCAAATCTTGGACTTGCCAGTGGTTTAGCCACATGACCTTCAGTAAACCACAAACTCTTTAGACCTTTGCTTACTCAACTACTCTACAGGTTCATCTTACCTGGCTACAAGACAGATATTCTGAAAATCCCTTCAGAAAAAAAAATGAGGGAGCAAGGTTGTCCTCCTACCCACTATTATTACCTGCATTTGTGATCAGATCTCTATCTGGGAAAATTCTTCCTCTACCACCAGCTGACTGAGCTAGGAAATAAAGAAGGTGGTCCTCACTCATTCCCTATGCTAGTGTACCTATTTTGGTTCGTAAACTTTATAGCATCCTTGGAAAAAGCTGCTCACCTGCCCTTCTAGAGTGAGAATATTTATAAAATGTACACAGTAACATCAATTTGAATCAGCTTTCACCTCCAACTCCATCACTGTAATATAATGGGGGATATGACTTGATTGATTTTTAGTGCAGAGAAAAGCAAGTTGGGGGAGTGTTCTAGTTAGTAAAATACCTTAGTTAACTGAGTTAATTTTAATGATGGAATACCATGTAAAGATTACATGAGGAAAGTGGAAAGGAGTCTATAGGATCATAGATTTAGAGCTGGAAGGGACCCTGGAGGTCATCTGGCACAAGCCCTTCATTTTATAGATTAGGAAATTGACGTCCAGAAAGTTAAATGACTTTGCCCAAGGTAACATAGGCGACAGAAAAAGAACTTAAATACTGGATCTCTGACTTCAAATCCAAAGCCCTTTCCACTCTTCCACATTGCCTCTCCTACTTGCTAGAGTATTAAGGCTTAGAGAAGAAGTAATAAAAGCAGAAACTTGAAATTGCTTCTGGGGAGTGAGAAAAGATCTTAGCCTAGGGTTGTTGTGATGGGATGAAAGAGCCACAAATTGGTAATGAGGTAAAAGGACTGATGGAAGCTAACCAAGCTAAACCTCGAAAGATATATTGGGGTTTACTGGCTAGATTTCTTTCTTAAGGACCACACTTTAAACTCAAATCACTCTGGTTCTTATTGATTGGCCAACAATAGATCCCAGGTCAAGCCCCACTTGGTCATTGTTTGGGCCCTGATTGGTTCAGAGTGAATATAAATAGCAATTGTTTCTGTTTTGACCAGAAACTCTA